TGATATCTATATCACAATTGAAATTGAAACATTGTGATCTTAAAAGTATATAAATTTCATTCAAAAATTTTTCATTTTTAAATTATTTTGCACAACATAAAGTTATGAATAAAATAATTTTAGTGACTGGGGGTTCTGGTTTAGTTGGGAGTGCCATCAGAGATGTTGTAGAACATGAAGGTAATGCATTACCTGATGAAAAATGGATATTTACAAATTCAAAAGAGGCCGATCTTAGGTTGCTTATAATCATTATCCATAATTTGTAGTTATATTTTATCAATATAAATCTGTTTTAGCAATTTACAAGACACTAGAACCTTGTTTGAAAAATATAAACCAACACATGTAATTCATCTAGCTGCAATGGTTGGAGGTTTATTTCATAATATGAACAACAATTTAGACTTTTTGGTAATATATTTTTAAAATTTATTTGTTATTAAAAAAACAGTGCAATTTGTTAATCTTAGTAATTGAAAATTATGAAAAAATGTAATGTTAACTAATTTTAAAACTTGGGTAACAACTACTAAAAAAGAACCCTATGTTCACTAATATCATTATTAATAATGTTTCTATGTATTTTTTTCAGCGTAAAAATATTCACATTAATGACAATGTACTTGAGACTAGTTATCAATTCAATGTAACTAAAGTAGTATCTTGTCTTTCTACCTGCATATTTCCTGATAAAACTTCTTACCCAATTGATGAATCTATGGTGAGTAAAATTGTTCTTGTAGGTGTTAACAAAATATCATTAATTTACCAAGGCTAAAAGCCATAATATAAGTATTTCTCACTAACTCTTGGTTTTCAAGTATAACAACTCAGAATTTACTCATCCTGTTAAAACAGGATGAGTAAATTGCCATTGATAGCAAAATTTATTTCAAAAATAAAATTTTGAGCAAAAAATATAAGGTTCAAAATTAGAAATTTTGTAAATTTTTTACCATTGTCCCCCGTATGAAATTTTGACTATGCCACTGTATAAAAATAATACTTTAAAGTGATTAAAATTATATAGGAAAAATTTCATTTTAGTATTCTAATTGGGAAATAAACCACTCTGATCACAATTCCACATAAATTAGTTACAGAGGGCAAAATTTCTGCTGGATTGCTCTAAAAAACATAATTTAAGTAATATAGATTTTTGTATTTCTAGACTTTTTTTTACTCAACTTTTTTTTTATGAGAAGCTCAATTTTTTTGTAGTTAGGAGGGCCAATACATTTTATTTGCCGTTGAGATTAGTATGCACCTCAACTATGCTATTTATAACTCTCAAATAATTACTTAATTAAATCTTAAGTTTTATTTAATATTTAATTATAAATTGATGTAATAAATTAACCAAATAAAGAGAAATATGAAGTTGTTTTTACATCAGTTGTTCCATGTAATGTTTATGGACCGAATGATAATTTTGACTTACAAAATGCTCATGTTGTTCCTGCTTTAATTCATCGTTTATATCAAGCTGTAAATAATGGTAGTTAAATTATTCCTCTTAATTTGTCACTTTTGTATTTTATACTAATTTTTTAATATTAATCACTTTAAGTCACTATTTTTTTACTTCATTACTAAAATACTTTCTTGAAAACTATAGATGTAAAAAAATATTTTTAATTTTTCAGCAGTATTCTATGTGTAAAAATCGAAATATTATTTAATACTTAAAAAGAAATGTATGAATATTTTTACTAAATAACTTTTTCAAATAATTAAATAAAAAATGTTTAAGATATAAGAGCAATTGCAAGCACTGAACATTAAATAACAACTATGTTTTTTTATTATTATATTTTTCAAGCAATTT